CTCTCTCTCTCTCTCTCTCTCTCTCTCATGCTTTTGTATTTATTAAATTTTACTTTATTTTTATTATCTTTTTACTTTAAAATGCAAGACAGTTGCAGTACCACCATACATTGTTAATTACGATGGTGCCCTCTTCCGCCAATACCCAGGTAACAATTATTATATAAGTTAACTCAATTTTTTCTAAATGTGACTTGATGACCATTTTACCCTTACTTTCCAATAAACATTTTTTTACAATATTCATCAGTTTTATGGAGGAAACAAGAATGGCAAGTAGTTAAAGGGTTGGTGTCTTAATACATTAAGCCACATTTTTTTTTGGCTTAACCCACTAAGTCATTCAGTCTGGATTGAGTGAAAAAAATAAACATATATAGCTGTGGAGATTATGTGATTAATCTATTAAGCTCAGTAAATAAAAAAGTAACAACCTCATGTCCTCATTAAGTCTATTAATAATAAAAAAATAAAGAGTGTTTAAAACTTGTTGATAATGCAGGACCCTGGCAGGTGATGCTTAAGCAAGCAGATAATTCGTATGCTTGTGTTGCAGAAAGCGAAACACGCTTCACGCTTAATGAAGTAAATTTCCGTTATTACCCTTTTTCTGTTTTGAGTATAAATAAAATAAAATATGTTTCTGAGTTTTGAGAGATTTGTTTGGCATGTTTATTTTAGACCAAGGAAGAATTACTGAGGGTCCTTGGACTCAAGGAGGAACAAGGAAGCCAACTTGAGTTCCTTCGTCGTGGTTACAGGGTTTGCTTCTTTTCATACTAATTTCTTTCATTTAATTTCTTTCTTTGCAAGAAATTTTAAAAAATTCTTCAATTGTTTTCGGCCAAATTATATAAAAAACACTATATCTATATGGCTTGTTATTTTTTCAGTTTAACCATAAAAAAATTGCATTTTTCAAAAAAACAAACTGCCCCTACCCGGTATATAAAAAAACACTATATCTATATTGTTACATATAATTTGTGGTAATGGACAAGATACATATGTTTTTGTTTGAGGGTATAGTAATTATTATTAGACATTTTACAAATAGTTCTTGGGTTACAACTTACAAATGCATGATGTGGTTACAGAAAGCAACATGGTGGGAGGAAGACGTGGATTTGGAGTTATCTTCCGCATGGCGTACCTGAGACTCTGAGAGTGAGTTAACCCCCCATACAAACATCAAGAGATGTGGTGGGGATGGGGTACCATAATTTATTCACATATGTATATCATAAGTACACAATTTTCCTGTTTATATTATTTTCTGCTTTCATTTTTGTTACCGTGTCCCAGTATTGGCCACAGTTATAATCTCTTTCACAATCCGTGTAACGTTTAACAACGTTTTTCCCCTGGGGTCGGCTATGATCTATATCACATCAAAAATTCAAAATAGCTACAACATCCGTTCATAATTCACAACTTAATAAATGTAAATTTCCATCTACAAATCACCAAAATCCGGCTCGGAAGGCTTTTGAAGACTAATAAACCCGGTCGACACTCCCCGCTTCCTCTGAACCCGTTTCATAGCATTAGCCGCAAACTTGGACGCATACATCGTCGCACCAAACGACGACGACGACACCCGCCCTCTAATCAACGCAGTTTCTTCATTAACATCCTCTTCAACCTCCTCCTCCTCCTCTTCCTCCTCCTCATAATCATCCATATAATCCTCATCTGATTCTTCCTCCTCCAACCGATGCAATTCCATAATCTTCCTTCTGGAATACCTCCTCCACGCTGCCTGAATAAAACTCGCCGCCCATGTCCGCCACTGCTGTGAATAAAACCGGAAAGTATGCTGAACTTGCCGACTATGAAGCCGCCTAAACTGACTCGTTATAAACTTCACCTCGTCTGCGATCAACGCAAACGCTTCCACCTCCGTTAATGCCATAACCGTTCGTGTTGACGGCGGTAGGTTACCCGCCGATTTCGGATCCAACGCCCACGTCAACAGCTCTTCCCCGCAAAAATCCCCTTCTTTCAAAAATCCCCGGTTGAAAAAACCGCTTCTCCCGCCGTCTGTCGTGACGCTTTCTAAACGCCCCCGGATTATGAACAACATTTCGTCGACCGGGTCGCCTTCCCTTAACACAAACGTGCTTTCTGTGTAAAGACTTGGTTTAAGTCTCTCGCATATGGCGTCTAGTAATCTTTCGTCAAAATTTGCAAACAATGGAACCTACAACAATTACGATTTTAAGTTTTCAGTCATGGAAGTTGTTTAACTACAGTAACATACCCTTTTTACTAGATTTAAACAGAGGTGTCTTTTGATGTCCCTTCTGAGATCTTTTGGTAGACTTTGGACTAAGCTTTCTTCATCTACTCCTCTTGTTTCCACCCATTTGTACTGATCGTATCTTCGCACTCGTTCTTTAAGCTCTTGAGGAAGCAATCTGTGATGCATCCATTGTTCAGAGTCACGCCTTTTGATTCTCATCTCCTCTAAACGAACCGAAAGCGATTGAAGATACGTCTGCTCAATCCAAAAATCAAAACAATAAAAAAAAAAAAAAAAAAAAAATCCACGTGGCACAAGATTATTATTGGGCTAAATATTACCTGCATGTTGCCGATGAGAAGAGCAAAGAGTATGAGCCCAGAAATGGCGATTATGATTGAGAAAATAATTTCTTTAGCATATGTACTGGTTTCAAGCCCCTGACCTAGTGTACTGTTGTATGGAATTTAGCAAATGTTGAGAGATGTTTTGATTAGAATTTTTAGGTGGGTTATAAAAGAAATGAACTTGCCTTAAGTTTCTTAAGCCCCACCACAAACAGTAGCAGTATTTAGATGGAAAATGTTCAGAGGAATCAACTTGAGATTGCACAGCTTGTAAGTAAATCCCATAATCAAATTCTCCATAGGATTCACTTTCAACGCAATGTTCATCAAGAGTGGCTTTAGCAACTTGCAGCCAAGCTTTGTATCCTTCTGTCTCGTCATGCCCACAGTAAAGATATTCTATCTCACATTTACTCTCATCACGACATGCTTGCGCCCAACATGCACTCTTACGTTCCACAGCCAACAGATACCAGAAAGCTCCAAATATCTGTTCACATCACTTCAAATCAGATAAACATTTTTTCATGCATAATTTATGATGAAACCAATGGATATTTAGATATATATATGTGTGTGTTATTGAATTCCAAAAGTAATAGGCTTTACCCCAAATTAAGTGAAAAAAAAGAAAGAAAGAAAGAGCATTTACATGACCAGCAAGAACAAACCAAACCAAATAGTAAGCTGCACCAGCCCAAGCTGTTTCAGTAATGACACCCACAGTTTTTTTGAGCTCTGAAAACAATGGTAGAATACGAAGAGATCTAGGAATATATTGCACAATCACAATCCACAGTAAAATCTTTTTTGTACCCAAAACACCCGAACCATGATCATTCTGAAGAAACCTCCACACCACAATCTGAAATAAATAAATAAATAAATAAACATAAATAAGATAACTAAAAAAAAAAAAAGACAAATCATTTTTTTGTAAACAAAATGAATACTTCAACCTGTGGTAAAGGTAGCACAGAGAGAATGTCAACAAAGAAATAACGTTGCATATATCTTCTTGCAATCTGTGCAGGATCTATCACAAGTTCACCACGTCCAAACACTCTTGATGATGGTGCTATATAAGCTGTACGAAACTGGAGACCAATGCGTACAAGGTAGAAAATATCGACTATGGTTCTCACAGTTGTAATGGAGTGTGCTAAACTTCTATGTATTTTTAAGCAACTTTCCGTATTATGATAAACGGGAATATAGAAAAATAAAGGATCCACATATACTGCAAGAATGCAAGATAACACCAGAAACTTGTTCCATAACAAAAGTGTTTTGTCTTGAGGATCGATTATTTTGTTCTCAGAGACTTTTAGATCTTCTGAAAACACTGCACGTGAGACTCCGGTTTTTAAAGTTTGGCCAAAATTTATAAGTCCTTCAGACCTTCTTCTCACGTACTTAATTGATTTGGATGCAGTAGTACGTGGATGACCAGAAGGGGGTGCTCCTTCTATATTGAATCCACACCTCTTCATTATATTAGATGGATATGACAAACTCGAATCCAAAACATTCAACCTAAATTAAAACATTGAAGAATCAAATTGTTACTTGACAGATTATCTGATTATGTTTCAGTAATTAATTTGTACCTTACGAATCTTTCTTCTTGACCACCTATGTATATTGTGGTGTGACAATTGTCAAACATTTTGGGAAGTGAATGGGGGAGGAAGAAAGGGGAATCATGACAGTGATTGTAACAATAAGTCTTTCAAGATCTTTTAACTGCCAATTGTACCACTGTGATATCTCTGGTAGTTTGGTTAAGTGGAGTTGAATTGGATCTGGTACCATGAATGCTAAGGCCACACGATGAACACCAGAATTACAAACACGATTAGCCCCAGATGTGTTACTCTGTTCAGCAACTGATCACCAATCCAGACATGTAGGGGATCATGTATGCATATTACTCACTCTCTATTGTGATCAAATCATCAAATGAAATTTTATGTCGTCAGTTACAGAAATAGGATCATCTTGCATCAGCCAATTAAAGCAAACATAAACACAAATTATGTAGCTGAGAAGATCATATTAGGAAAGAAGGTTTTGGATGTATGTGTTCAAACAATATATTGTTGTATGATGCGAATCTGGAGATTCAGCTAGAAAATCATCACATTTGTATGATTGGAATTATAAAATGAGATCTCGAGCAACTGATGTTTTTTTAGTATGATTTTTGAAAATGAAGGTAGCAATTTAAACATCTGAAATACGCACAATAAACATCTCCAGATTCATTTCACAGCTCAACGAAGAAAAATCAAACACGGAAAAACAATATCTGACATGCGCACAAACTGAATAACATTTCGAATATGAGGGTAGCAATTTGGGCATTCAAATAAAGCACATCAAAAATCTCCAGATTCAGAAAATTAAACACGAATGAGCAGTATCTGCCACAATGAAAGAAGATTTCAGATCAAATTGAAGAAACCTACTTACCTTAAAATTCTTCAATTTTTTCAATCTATCAGATCCTGCTCCGAGAAGATCAAAATCGAAGAAACAAAACGGAAAACTAGCCTAGTTTCGCACGAGCGAGATACTGATGAGAACCTAATTTCGGAGTGATTTTGGCGCGAAAAAAAAGGGAAATGACCGATAAAATCAGGAGGTGTTTCTGGTACACATTGATCGTTGAAAACGGTTAGCCATTGCTCATATTCCTTGTCTCGGCAAGCACCTTGAAGTTTACATCACTTTACAGAAAGCCACCAAAACCTAGTAATTGTTGCAATTCACCTCCATTTTTTTTTCTCTGGATTATTATTGGAAATAAGTGTTCCCTTAATTACAAGCCTCGAGACCATTCTTTTCAGTGTACATCTACGATGGAGATTTGAATTTAAGAATCTCAAATTATATTAAATAAGTTTCGGACTATTCAAAAAGTTAATTAAACAAATTGTTGCAGATATTGTACGAAACACACCTTCTTACCGGTAGCAACCTGAGGGTATGTGAGTGGTGCGGTCGCACGGTGCCTCCGATTTTAAAGGGCCTCTAAAATTAGGGAAATATATAGTAATGGTGTTGGTAATTTCTTAAAATATATTTTTATGTGTTTTTATTAAAGAAACTTACGTGTTATTATTAAAGAAACTTAGCAACTAATTATATACACAATGTAACCATTTGATTGCAATCTTAAAGTAATTTTAATTGTAAAAAAAATCAACGAAAATCAAAAAATCAAAATCTTATCATCAATTCTATATTTATAAAAAAAAATTAAGGAAAGTATCTATATAAAAAATAAATATATGTTTCTAGTACAACTTCAAGAAAATGTTATATGTTTTATAAAACTCATCAAAAGATCAAACCTAATAACGGTACAAGTAGATTGTCGGTGTTGCTCATCTCTCTTTAAAATTTCCAAATCCCATCAGTGCTTAGCTTCTTTCTTTCCCAGGCTAAATGCTCATTTTTTGAATGATTTATTTATAAATTCATAATGAAGTTAAAGAATAACAAAGTAGAGAAAGTAAAAAACAATGTTCTTGTTTTTCCTTACACATCGTATATTGTCTTGTGAATTATGTTTATCACTTAACTTAATAGCTTTAGTTTTTCAATGTTTAGTATAGAGGGGTTAGAATAGAGCATTAGCAAATTTCAGAGTGGGGTGAGAGAGGACGGCAATAGGCTTCCATTTTTTGGCTTATAATATTAATATAATATAATCTAATACTTTGAAATGTTAAAAAACAAGAATTTTGTTTGCTGAGTCGAATCGAACCGAGTATTGCCAAGCTCGAATATCGACTCGCTTAAAATACTCGAGCTCGAAGCTTGACTCGAACTCGCCTCGAGCTTAAATCTGAAGCTCAAACTCGACCATTGAAATACTCGATACTATTGAGCTCGGTTCGACTTGACTAAAATTAAAAAAGTAAAATAAAAAAAGGTGAAAATCATCAAAAATTAAAAACATTCCATATGCTTTTACATTGTCCAAAATATCAAAAAATGCACAATAAACCATCTATGTATTTGCATTTTACATATATCCAAAATACCAAAAAGAAACATTTGTGTCTTTGCATTTTATAAATATCCAAAATACCAAAAAGAAACATCTAATGTCAATATATCATCAAGCTTCTATGTCTTTGCATTTTACCAATTCAGCACCAACACAATCTCTTGTACCTGTCAAAATAACAACAATAACGAAAAAATACATCACAAATAACCACAAAAAAAACAACTTCAAAAATCAGCACCCAAAAAACAACAACGATGGAAAAAAAAAAAAAAAACAATGACAAAAAACAGCAACAACAACAGAAAAACAACAACAACAACAACGAAAAAATAACTTAACCTGAAAACAACAAAAATTAGTTAAAATTAACAGTTTTAAACATTTTAAATATGCTTACTTCTCATGTATCTGTCATGGAATTGGAAGATTGATCTCCATTTGTTGTTTCTCTTTCTGAAATGCATAAACACGAGAACAATAAATATATTTAAATTGTAAAATATACATAAAAAGTAACGAGAAACAAATGAATCATACCTTGTTCTTTCTTTTCAAACCGTGGAGGCTTCGACACCAATCTCCTCCACAAAGTAAGACTTCAACCGTTTCGGGAGCCAATGATGCTCTATATGTGGCAATAACTCTACTACCCGCACTAAAAGTAGCTTCCGATGCAACAATGGTGATGGGAATAGCAAGTATGTCTCGAGCCATGCATCAGAATATATGATATTTTAACGAATTTGATCGCCACCATTGTAAAGCATCAAAAAATGTTGGGCCAACATCACAAATGTAACAACCCTCTTCAAGATAATTATCTAAATCTGATTTTTGTGGTTGTATATTTTCAACTGTTCTTATAAATTGAGGAAACTCGGACCACCCGAAAGATGAAGGTTGAATGTTCACATTGTTTCCACTTAAACCAACAACAGTTTCATAATTTTCTTCACCGCCACTAGAATAATATCCATCCACATATTCTCCATACAATTTATATAAAGCTTTTTTTTTTTTAACTTTGTCTATATTTTCACGAGCTTCCTGTTCGGGATATATCCTAGGAAAACAAAACTCAATAACCCTCATTTTGCACCTAGGATCTAAAATAGCACCAATCGACATCATCAAGTTGCACTCTCCCCAATACTTATCAAATTTTTGTTTCATGCACCGAACCATGTCATGAACAAAATGATCTTCGTTAGGATCTTGAAGCTTCTTGTCCAACAAAACTTTGATTCTATAAACTTCATTAAGAAATAGGTTTGAAGTCGGATACTCACTAATAGAGATAATATTAGTTGTAGAGTAAAAAACTTCTAAAATCTCGCATACCTTTTCCACCTTTATCCAATCTTCATTTGTGGGACAACTAATGTAGCGTGGCTCTCTTTCTTTGTACATTGGAAACACCTCTTTAAATTTGATTGCAGCGGACAATATTTCATTTGTTGAGTTCCACCTTGTCTTGCATTCAAGAATAAGTTTTCTATGTGACAATTGTAATTGTAATACAATCTCAGAAAACAAGTTGAGTCTTGACTCATTTTGATTGATAAATGTAACAGAGTTGTGCATATCCTCAATAATATCGCCAATTCTAGAAAGTCCATCTTGAATCATAAGATTCAAGATGTGTGCACAACAACGTACATGAAACATCTTTCCTCCACAAGGCAACTTCTTAACCCTTGAAAAAGTTTCACTTAAGATCCTAACAGCCAAGTCATTATTCGAGGCATTGTCAACCGAAATAGTAAACACCTTATTTTCAATGCACCAATCCTTCAAACACTTATAAAGATTATCGGCAATCTCAAGCCCACGATGAGGAGGAGGTAAGTGAATAAAGCTAAGAACACACTTCTGTAAATGCCCATTAGAATCGACAAAATGGTCTGTAAGAACCATATATTCGATCTTCTGATTGGTAGACTTCCACATATCTGTGGTCACACTAATCCTTGAAATAGATTTCAATAAATCCTTCAACTTCTTCTTTTCTATCTCAAAAACTTTTTTACAGTTTGCGTTAATGGAAACATGTGAGACGGTTTCCCACTCAAGAATTCCACGCTTTTGCATCATGTTAAACCCCTATTCCTCAACAATTTTGAAAAGATGTTCGTACATAAGTATCCAATGTGAAATTGACTCTCTCATTTTCATCATATCAAACTTTCCATCGGTAAGGGCGGGGGTAACATGCTGTGAATTACTTCCCGAATCAACTACTTGCAAAGTGATATTTTGTTGTTATTGGTCATAAAGTTTTTTGGGATACATTTCTTTAAGTGTCGTCCCAAATGACTAGTACTAGCGCTTACTAATATGGAGAGTTTACTTTTACAATGTATACACTGTGCTTTTTTAGTCCCATCACACATCATAACTTCTTTAAATACCCCATACTGGAGAAGTCTTTTGCCTTTTCTTCCTTTCAAAATGGGAACTTTCTTCATCTGCGTTTTCTTCTTCAGTATTATTAGGAGGGCTATTTTTGTCATTTACAGAACCAATGTTCTCATGTTGTGGGTTTGCAACAGAATTTTGCTCCAATGTTGGAGCTGAAGAAACTTCAGGTCTACATGATTCCATTTGCAAAAAATCTATATCACATTATGAAACTATCAAGGGAAGAAAGATAATTCAACAAAATAAACCAAAAGCTTTTTAATGAAAACCAAAAGGCAGCATACAATATCATAATAATAGGCAGGGAAAATAATTATGAAAGAAATCTGTAATACAACAATTTTTAACATAATCTAATCTCATAACTAAATGCTAATAATAATCTGTAATAGAAAAGAATTTTGTTGTGATTGGCTGATTTCTTAGTCCATACATCATAGAGTGATAGACGTGAGTGAGAGACATGAGTGAAGAATGAAGACAAGTTAAGAAAAAAAACACTTCATTAAGCACAACATGAGTAACGAAACTCCCAACCATGTGAACTCATACCAATCAACTACTGAAGTGCAAAAATACAAATCAAAATTATTTCTTAGAACTTTTTACAATACTGATTACACTGCAGAAAATCAAAGATAACATTCACTGAAATTTGTTTGGAAATTTTGAATATTGATGATAGTGATACCTTTCTTAGGCTTGTGAACGTCAACTAGCCGGAGATTTTTTCGTTGACGGCGGCAGGTACTGATAGCGACGTCGACTGTAGAATGTAACGGTGGTCGGTAGCGGTGGTTGAAGCCTCGACGGTAGAGGACTAGTGGTGGTCGAAGATAGCATGTATTGTCGTATCGGAAGTCTGGAACGACAATGAATTGAGGATTTGAGGTATAAGATTCGTCAATGGAGCATGGAGGGAGGCGTGTAATGTGCTAGGAATTAGGGTTAGAAAGTGTAAAAACGTTTTGAAATCTTTAGTGTCTTATTTCCTTTACCGCCTAATAGAGTATAAGACTAATAGTTAAAAATATTAAAATTGTTTAATAATTTACTATATGTATAAAGGGTAAAAATGTAATTTTATAAATACTCGATTAAGCTCACGAGCTTTTTGAGTCGGGTAATTTACTACTCGAGCTCGGCTCGATAAGGTACTCGAGTAGCTCGAGCTTGAGCTCGATTCGATTAAAGCCGAGTCAATTTCGAATATTTTCCGAGTCGGGCCCGAGTTTCTCATGAGCTGTCTCTTCTCGTTTTCACCCCTTGCTCTAACTATTTTAAATATTAACTTTTGATAGATATTACAAATATATATATTGCTAAGTTATTAACATGGATTTTTTTTGATAAAAAAAAGTTGTCTCTAACTAGAAAATTTGGGTCGGGTTGTTCTAAACATAAAAGGAAAACATAAAAAAACAATTTATTCATAGTTAAAGAGGAACTATCAATTGATTCATCGTTAAACAGATGTCGAAACACCATTGTAATGAGGAATTAGTTACGTAAGAATATAGAGAATGAGAAGTTGAATTACATGTGCTAGAAAACATGGATGAAGTTCATGAAGCTGTGAAAAAACCTAGAGAAGAAGTTCATGATGTTGCTGAAGAACCTAGAAAAGAAGAATTTGAACTGCAAGTGCCAGAAGATATGCCTTGTATAGATGAAGACATAATCGCCATGAATGATAATGATGATGACAAAGAAGATACTACAATGAATATGTATGATCCTAGAAACTATAACATCTAATGAGTGGATACATTATTTTATGGTCATGAATTTACGAGATGTTTGATAGTAACTTTGAGTTTTGAATTTAGTAATAGCAAATTTACTTAGTAATACTTTACAAAAAAAATATGGGGCTTCATTTTGATTTTCGCACAAGGTGTCCGGCATGTTAGGGTCGGAGCTGGTTCATACTAAAATGATTTTTTAAAGGTTTTTATGTCATTTCATATTTAAGGATATTAACAAAAAGATGACACTTATAGGAATAAGATATATAGTTAAAGTCATAAAAGTTAGGTTATTACTTATACAACCCTCTTATGTCTTGACCGTAACTTCTACTTTTGTGTCCTATTTGCTATTATATTTTGCAGAACTTTTCATTTTTCATCTATTGGCTAGCTATCAATAGATTGATACCGATGTGTTGGTTTAGGATGAAGCATGTTAGGGTTAATGTCATAAATGTCCAATAAATTATTGTGAATGTCTAACAAGTTATTGTGAGAGGCAGAGCTTCAATCTTTTATTTGGGAGCCGAAAAATATAATTTGGGGGTTATAATCAAAATTTTATATTTTTAAGTTTAATATGTATAAAACTAAAATATAGATACTATTTCTGGGTCAGCCCCTAGCCCATATAAAATCCCTTCCTTGTGAGAGGACTTATTTACAGATTTGTGAGAAACTTTATTATAATTGTAATATTATAAGTTTTTTGATTTGTTGAGCTAACATTAATATGTCATTAAAAGACTTGGTGAAAAAGTTTTTGACATATTCATCTTAAATTAAGATGATCATAAAAAATGGGCGTGATTAGGGACTAATTTTTTCCAAAATTTAAGAAAACGACTATGATATTCGTGAAGAGCAAATCGCAAATTCACGATAATAGCTTTTTGGCATAAAGCTAACGTAAACTCTCGCGATAATATAACTATTGACATGAACACTAAATTTTTTAATAATAGGCAAAGTTGTTATAGATATTTTCATAAACAAAAACAAATATTACAATACACAATGTGAACAACCATGAGTAAGATAACATTTGTAAATTTATATTCTTTTTTCTTCAAACTACCTTTTTGTTATTCTCTTTAACACTAACTATATTTCCTTTCAATTTTCACTGTTTATATGAGTGTATTTCAAGAAGAAAATCTTTATGTTTTTATCATGTTAGTTTCTCACCTGTCCATCTCAAGCATTTATAGTTCTCTCTCTCTCTCTCTCTCTCTATATATATATATATATATATATATATATATATATATATATATATATATATATATATATATATATATATATATATATATATATATATATATATATTAAAATATCACATTAACCCTAGCTAAAAATTGTAAAATTTAACTACAATATACTCTTTAGCTAGAAATTATACATTCAAAATAAACCTTCAAGAAACTTCTACCATGGTTCCACACACTCAATGACAAAAATAATGGAGCTTTTACTTCACAATGATACATTTGATTTTACCATTTGTTAGGCTTAGGGAGTGAGGTGCATTGTCGCCACAGTGGCAAGGGAACACTGCTCTAGGCCGCAGCTTGGTAAACTTTGGCTGCAAATCTCTCTCTCTCTCCATACGGTTTCAAAGTGATAAAATGAGAAAATATGAGTTGGCATCTACATGACAAAAGATCATCCACAATGGGGAGTTTAATGAAAGAGTTGAATGAGGTGTCATGCCTATTTATCATTCAATAGATACAACTCCACCATTGTGAAATATCACCTTGGCATTCAATGAATTTGAAGTTCAATGGTCATTGAACTTTTCAATGGGAAAAAGGAAAGTCTTTAAATCTTTAAATAAATATTTTTTAATATGTTTCATTGAACTTGTAGAGTTTAATGCATTGTGAGCAGCTACATAGGACATAATTTTTTTATTATTTATTTTAATTTAAAAACAACAACTTATAATAACGATGATACCCTTTTTTTCTTGTTCGTCTTGGGACTTTGAGTATATTTAATTCTTGAGGACCGGCCCTGCTTCTACACAATGTTGATATATATATATATATATATATATATATATATATATATATATATATATATATATATATATATATATATATATACTAGCAGCGTACCCGCGCAAAGCGGCGGGGTGTGTAAATTTTTTCGGTGATATGTTTCCTCTACAAAAATGTTATGTTACAAAAGAAAGTACATGTCGAAGACAAAATAATCAAACTATGGTGTTATTTGGGAGATGAAGTCATTTTTTATTCCTAGACGGTGGGCTTTATAGCAGACGAGGGAACAAAGAGGTATCTGCGATTGGAGGGATATTTAAATTAACATACTAAATTTAAGGATATCGAAAAGGGTTCAAAATTTGAATGAATCCGGGATTTGAGGGAACCATATCAAATTGCTGAGAAATATAAGGAGATTTGATGATAAATATTTGAATTCAAAATGTGGTTAAAATTTAATATTATTTTATTAATGGCTAGTTGTAATATCAGCTTCATCATTTGGACATCTTAAAAAAATATTATTATTATAATCAATCTATTTTTAGAAATAGTTAGATTTCTTTTATAAGATAGTAAAGATATATATATATATATATATATATATATATATATATATATATATATATATATATATATATATATATATATATATATATATATATATATATATATGTTAGGTGTGTCAAACCCAACAAATAAAGGGGTACGATATACTCCAAAATAATCCCACTATATTGCACTAAAAAGGTAGTACAAGGTAAGCAGGGTCGATCCACAGAGACACAGGACAATTAGTCTATACCTCTTTGCACAAGGTATTATAGTCACCAATAGTAAAAAGAGAGGGGGTTTTAGAATGTAATGATTAAACAAATAATTAAAAACATAAGCAGTCAATTAAGTGCGTGAATTAAGTTCAGAATTTGTGAGGACTCCAACCCCATGTATGACAATTTAGCAATGTGACTCCAAGATGACACAATATTCGTTCAATTCTATCTAAGTTGGTACTTGAAAGTGCTAATAAGCTCTAACACTTCCCATTCACCATATTAATTAACCAAAACAAGCTCTTTGATTAATCCTAACCTTATTAACCTAATCTAAACAAGCTCTTAGGATTAGATTATAAGATTGCATGAAGCTTTATGTGAATGTTCCCAACAACACCCAATACTCCTCATAAGCTCGGGAGTGTAAAAGTGTATGAATAAAATTTACACTAAATTCATTCAATAGAGATCAATTTAATGCTTGTTACTTATTCAATTTCACAAAACAATTACGGATTTTGTAAAAGAGATAACTTGAATGACCTAACCCTAATTCAAATGGCCAATAAGAATCATAATTAGAATCAAACATTCGATTGAAGCAAAATCAAATTCATTAAATAGAAATTAAGAACAAACATCATGTCATATGAATGAAGTCACTACCAAGAAGTCAAAACATGAAATTGGAGAAATTAGGGTTCTAGCCACACATGGCTAGAACAAGATCACAAGAATAAAAGATGGAATTAAAGTGCAATTACAACTTACAAATACTAGAAATAATGTTTCCAAATGATTGCTAATCAAACCCTTGCAAAAACCTTTGAAAATCCTCCTTCAATGGTGCTCTGTTATGTTCTTTTCCTCTAAAAAATGACCCTTAACCCGTAATATGAAAGATAGGAAAAACTGCCAAAAGTTGGTTTCTGGGTCGAACACGGCCCGTGTTAAAATAGGCTAAACTGACACGGGTCGTGTTCAGCAACACGCCCCGTGTTGGTTTGCACTAAACTGACACGGGTCGTGTTCAGCATGGTCAACAGCTCCCATTTTGGTCAAACACGCCCCGTGCCCACTTTTTAGTGTAAATTCAACACGCCCCGTGTACCTCTCTGACTCCAATTCCAAATTTGATTTTTCCAACTTTTTAGTTCTTCGCCGGATCGTCCCGAAATCTCCACCAATGCTTCCCGACACTTCCCAAAGCGCGTTCCAACCTCCGGTTTACCTGAAAAAGATATAAAAGTGTGCAAATAAGGTTGTTCTAGAGACTAAAATGAATATGATAAAATGCAAGGAAAAGGAAGAACAATTTTGCTAAATATATGCATAAAATGGGACTAAAAGGTGTGCAAAAAGGTGCACAAATAGCACCTAACAAATCTCCCCAAGCTTAGACCTTTCTTGTCCTCAAGAAAGAACAAGAACCGGACAACAGGACGATTTCTAGATGGCAAAAAGAAAAACTTAGAACGAAAAGGGGATGAAGGATCCTAAAGGTTAAGAATGAATGCATGCAATGCAATGCCATGAAAATATGTTCAAATGCACCTGAGAAACAAAATGAAGCAAAAGAAAAGAAAATTAAGAACAAACACAAAATATGTACTTTTGTAACTAAATAAAGGTACGATCAGACTTTACATCAATAGGGCTTCGATCATTGATACCTTGGCAACCATCCTGTTTCCTTCCACATATCACAGACTCTCAATGTGAGGAAGACCCGAAACGGTGTAACCCAATACTCCAACCAAAGTTTTATTTAATCTTTATACCTTACTAAGCTTTATGGGCGAAAATAACATAGTCCGGATTTCATGTCCTTAAGACTAAATGGCCAAGAATCAGAATCGACGCCTCCTTAAGAACCCGTCACGGCGAATCAGCTTTCGCTGAAACAGTGAGCCCACCCGAAGGGGCTCAGCTCCTATGCTTTCACTTTTTCGAGAGCCACAAGTATCATATCACACAGTTCTTCATTCGCCATATTTGACTTGAGTTGGCTTTTGATTTGATTGAGCTTTGATTTGTACTTCGTTTTGAATTTGGATTCTTCAATCTTCATCTTTGGAATTTCTTTGGAATTTCTTTAGATTTCTTCGTTTTGGTATTTGAAATTCTGATTGGGGTACTGGATATGACAGTTGTACCCTTCCTTCATTCTCGACTGTGTGGGTCTGATACATAAGCTCTCTGTTACCGCGGGGGTAACGCGTGTCAACAAATAGGTCCGTGTTCTGTGGGTTCAGAGTTGCCGATAAAGATTCTTTTTAAACATTCAAAAGCAAATCATCCTAAAGCTGTTATTACCGCCCAAAAAATGTTTCAATATAAATTTTTTTTATTATCTGAGGGTAGGGTCTCGAATTACGATATTTGGGTCCCCTAGTTATGACAGCTGATTCTATGCTTCCGGTAACAATCCGGTTGCTTCGGTATTTTTCATTTCATTGAGCAATTGTATGTAAAGAGTGTCATCATCTCGTACACTTTTTTTTTTGTCATATGAATGAAAATTTGAAAATAAGAGAAAATTTGAAAATAAGAAAATTTGAAAATAAGAAAATTTGAAAAATTGAAAATAAGAAAATGCATGCATGAGAATGAGCGAACCTAAAATACAAGTCTACCCCTCCCCAAGCTTAAAGATAAGCATCGTCCCCGATGCTTGGAGAGGGTGGAACAACCTAAAACGGAGGTGGAGGAGGAGGATAGTAGCTGGGGTTTTGGGTCCAAGCCCAGAAGTCCGCCTCATGTTTGCGTTGACGCTCTTGATCCCGAGCGTACTGGGTGGTGAAGGTGGAAAAATTATGGGTCAGGCTGGTAATATCCTGCTGATAGGTGTCGAGGCGGGTATGGATTGATTGGAATTCGTCCATATATTGTTGATGATAAGGCGGGGGTGTAGCAAAACGGGATAAGCTGCCACCACCGGTGGGAGAAGCATGGTGAGGCTCCTCCTCTCCTTCATCATCATCACCCTCTTCCTCGTTTTCTTCGCTTTGCTCATCGGCCTCGGTGGAATAAGAGTGGGGGGAAGATGTATGGAATGATTTGCCAATCAGTCATATGAATGGGATTTCGGAAATCAAGAATGCCTTTATTTTCTGGTGTGATGAGGAGCTTGGGATCATGATTTTGACCCACGGTCCAGTGGTGTGTACCATCGCCTGCCGAGCGGAAGAGTCGCATTGACTCAAGGATAGCAGTGGTGAGATAAGGCTCACCCGGCAGTGGCTGGTGGGGACCGGGGTATGGGGCTCGGATGTGGGCGCTCTTGGCGAGCATGCTGACAATACCCCCGCAAACAATCTTTCCTGATCGGGATGCGCTAAGGCGGATGAGCTTGTGGCACAGAAACCGACCATAATGAGGAATGAGGTTATTCTCGGGATGGGTCATTGCATAAAGGATTTTAGTTCCAGCGCGCTAATGGTGCTTCGCTCCTCTCTAGGGGCGACGAGCGAAGCAATGATTCTGTGAACTACCTTAATCACAGGATGGATAAGTGATGAGGCTTTAGCAGCGCTAGAGACATATGGATGTAATTGGGTGAGCTGGGTCCACCAAGTCATGTCATAGTATCCTTGGATTGGATCAGTGGGGCTAAATGTGTTTTCCGTTGGGGCCCCCACAATGGCATTGATTTGATCCAAGGAGATCTCATAGTCTTGATTCATTAGACGGAAGTAGAGGATCCCATGATCTAAATAAACTGAGGATAGAAACTCAGCAGTTGGGACTTTATAGCTCAATTCATGGACCCTCAACAAGCCGTGCCACCCTATGTTGCGAAACAGGGTTTTGACTTGATTGTAAACATGCAACTCTTTCAAAGTTGGAACATGCGCGAATTTTTGGATGGCATGACCTCTTTTAAGGAATGACTCAAGTTTGCCCTGTTGAACTGGGCCAAGACATACAACACCAAAATGAGACGGGTCGGCTGGGGGTGTTGGGAACCTAGATGGAGGTGAGGGAGATCTAGATGGAGGTGATGGAGATCTAGGCTTCCGACGGCGGGCGGATGATTTGGTTTGTCTTGGTCTTTTGGAAGATGTAGCTTCCATAGTCAAGTTTGGGACAGATTAAAAGTCAACGGGTCAAAATGTCAAAAAGTCAACTGTTGATGGGTCCAGTCAACTTTGAACTTGGCCACCAAAATTTCGCGGGAAATTTGGTTTTCAAAGATTTCCAACTAAGAATCAAGTCCAAATAGACCACACTTTCAAGTATTTTTGACATTTTGACATTCATTAAGGCTAAGAGGGACACGACCCGTGTTGGTCCCTGGATGCTAATCCTCACTTTTTGAACTTGAAAATTCCCTCTCTTAGAAATGAAATACTTTTGCATTCCTAGGTCCGTTTGGTGATTTTAAATCATGATTGAATGCATTTGGAACATTGAAAACCAAAAACTCAAAGAAATGGAAATTGTTTTTAAGTAAAAGACAAAAATACCCCCGGGTTGTCTCCTGGTTAGCCGCCCTTGTTTCAAGTCGTTGGCTCGACTTTGTCCCCCATGCGTGATTCATTCTTGGTATGTGGGGTTCTCCAACTCTTCTACCTCTTCATTCTTCACCTCAAATCCCTCATAAAACGGCTTCAACCTGTGACTATTGACTTTGAATGTTTTACCCGTTTGCTTGCTCGTGACTTCCACTGCACCATGGTCAAACACCCTTGTGACTACGAAAGGACCGACCCATCTTGATCTTAACTTTCCTGAAATTAGCTTGAATCTCGAGTGATAAAGCAACACCTTTTGTCCTTGTATAAAGGTCTTTCGGGAAATTGCTCTGTCATGATATGCTTTTGTTTTCTCCTTATAGATCATGCTACTTTCGTATGCATCATTCCGAATCTCTTCTAGCTCTTGGATATCCAGTTTCCTTTTATGTCCCGCCTCATCTTCAGTCATGTTGAATTTCTTTACCGCCCAAAAAGCTTTATGCTCGAGCTCAACTGGGAGATGACATGCTTTACCAAACACAAGCCGATATGGGGACATACCAATTGGAGTCTTAAAAGCAGTACGGTATGCCCATAAGGCATCATCTAGCCTTAAGCTCTAGTCTTTGCGGTTTGGATTGATTGTTTTCTCCAAGATACTTTTGATTTGTCTGTTGGAAACTTCTGCTTGTCCATTGGTTTGGGGATGGTAAGCCGTTGAGACTTTGTGTGTCACTCCATATCTCTTCAAAACAGCTTCTAGCATCCGATTGCAAAAATGGGTCCCGCGGTCACTTATGAGCGCCTTTGGTGTGCCAAACCGTGAGAAAATCTATACCTTAAGGAAATCAACCACAACTTTTGAATCATTAGTACGGGTGGCCTTAGCCTCCACCCATTTGGATACATAGTCCACTGCTAACAAAATATAAGAGCAACCAAAAGATGATGGAAATGGTCCCATAAAGTCAATGCCCCATACATCAAAAATTTCACATACTAGAATAGGGGTAAGGGGCATTTGATTTCTAGAGCTTAAGGACCCGGATTTTTGGCATCTTTCGCAATGTGCACAAAGTACATAGGAATCATGAAAAATAGAAGGCCAAAAGAATCCGCCATCTAAAACTTTCCTAGCTGTCCTTTGGGGTCCAAAGTGACCACCACAAGCATAGGAATGACAAAAATTAAGGATAGATTGTACCTCTTTTTGCTCAACACACCTGCAAATTACTTGGTCCGCACAATACTTCCAAAGGTAAGGTTCATCCCATATGTATCGTTTGGCTTCTTTTTTGATTTTGTCTCTTTGCCAACGGGATGAATCTGGGGGAAATTGACTTGTGACCAAGTAGTTGACGATATCTGCATACCATGGTGCCTCTTTGGCTGAAAATAGATTCTCATCCGGAAATGTGTCACAGATGGGTTTACCATCTTCGGGTGATACAATGCGACTTAGATGATCCGCAACCAGATTTTCCTTTCCACTCTTGTCTTTGATCTCAATATCAAACTCTTGCAAAAGCAACATCCACCGTATTAACCTCGGCTTTGAGTCTTTCTTTGTAAGCAAGTGTTTTATGGCTGCATGGTCCGAATATATGATCACTTTAGTTCCAAGGAGGTATTGTCGAAACTTCTCCAAAGCAAAGACAATAGCAAGCAACTCTTTCTCTGTTGTGGTGTAGTTGCCTTGTGCCCTATCAAGGGTCTTTGATGCATAGTAGATGACATGATGTGCTCGATCAACCTTTTGTCCCAAAACTGCCCCAACCGCGGTATTGCTAGCATCGCACATGATTTCGAATGGAAGATCCCAATTTGGCGGTTGAATAATGGGGGCGGATGTCAACAAATCTTTCAAAAGATCAAATGCCTTTTTGCATTCATCACCAAACTCAAAATCAGCCTCCTTTTGTAGAAGTTGACACATCGGTACCGTAATCTTGGAAAAATCCTTTATAAACCGCCGATAAAAACCTGCATGGCCAAGAAAAGAACGTACTTCCCGAACATTTGTCGGGTATGGTAAGCTCTTAATAATATCTGTTTTGGCCTTGTCAACTTCTAAACCTTTCTGGGACACCACATGTCCAAGTATCAAGCCCTTGTCGACCATAAAATGACATTTTTCATAATTAAGGACTAAGTTCGTGTCAATGCACCTTTGTAAGATTTTGGTGAGATTTTGCAAACATTCATTAAAAGAGTTTCCATAAATAGTAAAATCGTCCATGAAAACCTCTATGATATTTTCAACATATTCTGAAAATATGCTCACCATACATCTTTGGAAGGTTGCGGGTGCATTGCACAAACCAAAGGGCATGCGTCTATACGCAAAGGTGCCGAAGGGACATGTGAATGTGGTTTTCTCTTGGTCTTCCGGGGCAACCGGAATTTGATGAAAACCAGAGAAACCATCAAGGCAGCAGTAATGGGATTTCCCGGCCAATCGTTCTAACATCTGATCAATGAATGGCAAAGGGAAGTGGTCTTTGCGGGTGGAAGCATTCAGCTTCCTATAATCGATACAAACTCTCCACCCGTTTTGCACACGGGTGGGTACCAATTCCCCTTCGGAGTTTTTGACAACGGTAACTCCAGCTTTTTTCGGGACTACTTGCACAGGACTCACCCACTTACTATCAGAAATAGGATAGATTACACCTGCATCCAAGAGCTTCATGATCTCCTTTTTGACCACCTCCATCATAGGTGGATTCAACCTCCTCTGTGCTTCACGGGTTGGCTTGAAGTCCTCTTCCATCAGTATTTTGTGCATGCATAATGATGGGCTCAACCCTTTTATATCCGCAATAATCCAACCAATAGCCTCCTTGTATTTCTTCAAAATTCCAACTAACTCTTTTTCTTCTTCTCGTGCCAGCTTAGTCGAAATTATCACCGGTAGTGTCTCTTCCTCTCCAAGATAGACATACTTGAGATGGTCGGGAAGAGCCTTCAACTCAAGAGTCGGCGGCTGTACTATGGATGGGAGAAGTTTCGGATTAGAACTTTTTAGCTTCATGCGGGGTGGTTCAACTCTCATTGGTTGTGCTTTCTCCAAGGAATCAATTACTTCGATCAATTCGTCTTCCAATGTGTACTTGTCAGCCAACTCTTTAATCCCTATCTCATCAAAGTGTTTGCTCAAGATGGTGGTTAGCACATCTTGGCTTGACATCTCAAAGCAATCATTAGTACATGAATCAATAACATCTATGAAGTTTAAAGAATGAATATCGCTAGGATAACGCATAGCTTCAAAGATATTAAAGTTAATTACCTCACCATCGAATTCCATTGACAAAGTACCATTGGCTACATCTATTTTTGTTTTTGCGGTACTCATAAAGGGTCTCCCCAAAAGGATGGAGCTCGATTGTGGGGTGTTTTCATCACCCATGTCTAAAACATAAAAATCAGCGGGAAAAACGAGCTCATTAACTTGCACTAACACGTCCTCCAATACACCTTTCGGATGTACCAAAGACCGATCAGCAAGTTGAATGATAACTCCGGTTTTTGATAAAGGTCCAATTCCCATTGACTTATAACTTGAATAAGGTAAAACATTAATTGAGGCTCCAAGATCAAGCATGGCACGTGGTACAAAAAGGTTACCCATTTTGCAAGGAACCGTGAAAACACCCGGATCCTTGCATTTTTTTGGTAGCCGTTTTTGTAACACGGCTGAGACATTTTCACCAACCTTCACGGTTTGATTTCCTTTAAGCTTTTTCTTAGATGTGCAAAGTTCCTTAAGGAACTTAGCATATCTAGGAATTTGTGTAATGGCATCTAGAAGAGGGATATTGATTTCAACCTTTCGAAACATGGCCATGATTTCGTCATCTTCCCTTTCTCTTTTGGTGCTTGCCAGCCTTGAAGGAAATGGAGCTGGTGTG